GTTATTTTGTTATCACTTCTTCCGTCTTATCTCTCTCTCTCTCTCTCCTACCCTACTCTTCTTATCCTCCCACCTCTCCTCTCCTACACCTTCTACCTTACTTTCTCCCCAATCTTGCTTCCTGTCTCCCCTCCCCACCCTTCATTCCCCTCCTTTTCCATTCTCCTCACCCCCCACCTCTTCCCCATCTCCCCTTCCTTACCTCCTAATTCTCCCCACCACTTCCTCCTCCTTTCCCTCGCTCTCCTCACCCCTCTCCCACCCTCCCACTTCCCTCCCCTCCCCCCTCCCCCCCGCACAAGCTAAGGACACACAACGCTAATTTCTTTATAATATATCATCAATATATATTTTCAGACAAAACTAATGTTCCAGACCAACATTTTTTTTAAACTTAAGAAGAAATTATATTATCAAACGAAATCAATATCTCTGAAATACTGTATTTATTATTATTATTATTATTATTATTATTATTATTATTATTATTATTATTATTATTATTATTATTATTATTATGTATGGAGTACATTATTAGTATGGAGGAGGTGAATGTATTCAGATATTTGGGAGTGGACGTGTCAGCGGATGGGTCTATGAAAGATGAGGTGAATCATAGAATTGATGAGGGGAAAAGGGTGAGTGGTGCACTTAGGAGTCTGTGGAGACAAAGAACTTTGTCCTTGGAGGCAAAGAGGGAAATGTATGAGAGTATAGTTTTACCAACGCTCTTATATGGGTGTGAAGCGTGGGTGATGAATGTTGCAGCGAGGAGAAGGCTGGAGGCAGTGGAGATGTCATGTCTGAGGGCAATGTTTGGTGTGAATATAATGCAGAGAATTCATAGTTTGGAAGTTAGGAGGAGGTGCGGGATTACCAAAACTGTTGTCCAGAGGGCTGAGGAAGGGTTGTTGAGGTGGTTCGGACATGTGGAGAGAATGGAGCGAAACAGAATAACTTCAAGAGTGTATCAGTCTGTAGTGGAAGGAAGGCGGGGTAGGGGTCGGCCTAGGAAAGGTTGGAGAGAGGGGGTAAAGGAGGTTTTGTGTGCGAGGGGCTTGGACTTCCAGCAGGCGTGCGTGAGCGTGTTTGATAGGAGTGAATGGAGACAAATGGTTTTTAATACTTGACGTGCTGTTGGAGTGTGAGCAAAGTAACATTTATGAAGGGGTTCAGGGAAACCGGCAGGCCGGACTTGAGTCCTGGAGATGGGAAGTACAGTGCCTGCACTCTGAAGGAGGGGTGTTAAGATAAGATAAGATAAGATTTCGTTCGGATTTTTAACCCCGGAGGATTAGCCACCCAGGATAACCCAAGAAAGTCAGTGCGTCATCGAGGACTGTCTAACTTATTTCCATTGGGGTCCTTAATCTTGTCCCCCAGGATGCGACCCACACCAGTCGACTAACACCCAGGTACCTATTTGCTGCTAGGTGAACAGAACAACAGGTGTAAGGAAACGTGTCGAAATGTTTCCACCCGCCGGGAATCGAACCCGGGCCCTCCGTGTGTGAAGCGAGAGCTTTAGCCACCAGGCCACCGGGCCTGTAGTGTAAAGCACCCTTCTGGCAAGACAGTGATGGAGTGAATGATGGTGAAAGTTTTTCTTTTTCGGGCCACCCTGCCTTGGTGGGAATCGGCCAGTGTGATAATAAAAAAATAATAATATTATTATTATTATATGATTTTATTATTATAATTTTTAATACTACTACTACTTACTATTATTGCTATTATTATTATTGTTATTATTTGGAATTAGGAAACCAAAATTATAATTATTTTTAGAACTACGTCTCAGAGTTCAGTTTTCTCACACACACACACACACACACACACACACACACACACACACACACACACACACACACACACACACACACAAACACACACACATACACACACACACACACACACACACACACACACACACACACACACACACCAATTTATTTTCTTGCGAAGAGGCGGGGCCAGGAGCTGTGAATCGACCCCTGGAACAACAAAGAGGCGAGTACACACAGGTGGTGTCAGCGCTGACAGTTTGGTTCATCGCGAGTACACGAGAGTACACACAGGTGGTGTCAGCGCTGACAGTTTGGTTCATCGTAAGTACACGAGAGTACACACAGGTGGTGCCAGCGCTGACAGTTTGGTTCATCGCGAGTACACGAGAGTACACACAGGTGGTGTCAGCGCTGACAGTTTGGTTCATCGTAAGTACACGAGAGTGCACACAGGTGATCTTAGGTGTTCAGTGATGACACTTGAACCCTGGTGAACCTTCATGATACATTGACATCTCCGGGACGACCTTATTAAGACTTCAAGACGTCTTTGGGGACGACCTTAAGTTACGTCTTTGGGACGACCTTGTTAAGGCTCCACGACGTCTCTGGGACGAACGTAAGGCTTCAAGACGTCTTTGGGACGACCTTGTTAAGGGTCCACGACGTCTTTGGGATGACCTTATTACGTCTTTGGGACGACCTTGTTAAGACTCCACGAAATCTATAGGACGACCTTAAGGCTTCAAGACGTCTTTGGGACGACCTTGTTAAGGTTCCACGACGTCTTTGGAACGACCTTGTTAAGGCTCCACGATGTCTCTGGGACGACCGTAAGGCTTAAAGACGTCTTTGGGACGACCTTAAGCTACGTCTTTGGGACGACCTTAAGCTACGTCTTTGGGACGACCTTGTTAAGGTTCCACGACATCTTTGGGACGACCTTCTCAAGGTTCCACGACCTCTTTGGGACTACCTTGTCAAGGTTCCAGGACGACTTTGCGACGGCCTTGTCAAGGTTCCACGTCTTTGGGACGACCTTGTCTAGATTCCACGACCTCTTGGGGTCGACCTTCTTAAGACTCCACGACGTCTTTGGGACGACCCTGTCAAGGTTCCACGACCTCTTTGGGACGACTTTGTCAAGGCTTCACTACAGAATGATGTAGTTATCTCACTCTAATTTTAACCGGAGTGGCGAGAATTCTTGACTGCTAGTTCCGAGTCCAACCACTGGCTAATAGCAGAGTCCAACTACTGGCTAGTAGTACCTGAGGACTACTTGTGAAAGCAACTTTCAGGAGAGGAAACAGCATGCCTGAGCTGGTTTTGTAAAGGAGTTCCTGGTAGCTAGAGATCAGGGAATAGTAAGGGTGGACGTTAAGAAGAGATAGGAAGAATAACATGAAGGGAGGCTTGGAGTAAGGTAGAGGAAGGCAGGGTAGAGAGCTTTGCAAAGATGGCGGCGAAAGTATTGCCATGGCAACCACACACACTCACTCTCTCTCTCTCTCTCTCTCACCCAATTCACACCACTCTCCCAATTTTCCCCCTTTTTTAGTGATGGAGCAAAACATTTTATGATCATTTGGGCAAAAATCTTTATTTTTAATTGACAGTCTCCCAAAAATTTCTCTTCCGTTTTCCAAAAATTCTGAAAGTTTGTGTGGAAATATTTCTGGCTGAGTTCAGAGACCCGGACGACCTTAAAGGTGATTTATAACGACCTGAAGATGGGAGGAACGACCTGGCAATAGGATGAACGACTAATGTGATTCATGGTGACCTGGGAGGAAGTTTCAACGACCTTAAATGGGATTTATGACGACCTGGAGATGGAAGGAACGACCTGATAATAAGCTGAAGGATCTTAGCCTCCCAAGGTGTCCTGTAGCTCAACTGTTAGCGCACTCAGTTCACACACTGAGGTCCGTAGTTCGAATCCCCGGTAAGGCTGGATAACATTAGGACGTGTTTCCGTAAGACACTGTTGTCCATGTTCACCCATCGGTATAAAAAGGGTATCTGGGTGTTAGTCGACTGGTGTGGGTCGCATCCTGGGGCAAAAACTGACCTAATTTTCCTGAAATGATCTGCATAACAAGCGTCTTTCTATATAGTAGTATGTCATTGATGTCAGTTAGGCCTATGTTAATGTACTTGTAGAAATAAAGATATTATTATTTTTATTATTACTAAAATACTTGTAACCCAGCCGGAGCCAGGCCGTAGTGACGTCCAAGAGTTTGATTATTTTGTTAGATGCACCATAGACATGTGACTTCTGCAGGATAAAATGATAATAGATGGTGTCTGTCTCCCTCAGTCCACAGGTGTACTCTTACACCACTGTCTACAATCCCACCATACGTTGTCCCGTGTCATGGAGTTAAGAGCATTTATGGATGACAGAGAATCAGATACAGTTAAGGTGTCAATCTTAGATACATGGAAGCATTTGAGTGGAAGAGTACAGCAAATGGTTAAGTTTGAAGGGTCGAAGCCCAGTTGCTGATGCGTGATCTAATTTTAATACGAAAGTCGTCACTTTGTATGACAACAGCAGCACCAGTGATGTATGACAACAGCAGCACCAGTGATGTATGACAACAACAGCACCAGTGATGTATGACAACAGCAGCACCAGTGATGTATGACAACAGTAGCACCAGTGATGTATGACAACAGTAGCACCAGTGATGTATGACAACAGCAGCACCAGTGATGTATGACAACAGCAGCACCAGTGATGTATGACAACAACAGCACCAGTGATGTATGACAACAGCAGCACCAGTGATGTATGACAACAGTAGCACCAGTGATGTATGACAACAGTAGCACCAGTGATGTATGACAACAGCAGCACCAGTGAACAGAGTCAACACATAATTCGTTGAAGAGAGTGAGTGCTCTTTGATGCATCGATACAACTTAAGGCATTCTGCTTGGTTTTAAGACTAAACTTTGGTTGTGATTTAAGTTTTTTTTTGTTAAAAAATGAGGGAATAGTAGTTAGAAATGGAGTGAGGTAATATTCCATGGTGCTGGGAAGTGTCGCCGTTGCCTTACTTTACAAAGATCATGTATCTGGTTCATTCAGAGACCAGTTTCATTTTTTATGGTCCATCTGGAGGTGTGTTCACCAGTGCTGAGGAAAGTTTGGAGGGCTTCTGTGCAAGGGTTTGAATGGGCTTGTGTGAGCATACTGACCCCAATGAGGACATTTCTTTCAGTGACACAATCTCTGATGCTTGGAATATCACGTTCGTTCCTCATGTTTACAATTTGGGCAGTATGAAGGTATCTTAGGATAATCCTCATTGCTTCGTTCTTTAATTTTTCCAGCCCTCCAGTCTTCCAGTCTGACACAAAAGCAAGTAGGGACACGGCATAATCACCCAATAATCTAATTAGTAAGCAAAACACAATATTTTCACTATTTTAACATTAGCACCATACCTGGGATGAAAACCTGCCATAACTCTATGTGCTCTCAGCCTTTCTTTGTATTGGTAACAAAGTCTTGTTACAACAGGTCCAAGCAGTGGGACCTCAAAGCGCTGATACCTGTATCGAGTTACATATTCCAGCGGAGACCCATCATGAAGGTGGATCCTGCGGACTCTGCCTCTGTCCTGGAGGAAGCTTATTAGGTATCTGTTTTTTCAGCAGAGAGAATCAACCACGGGACCTGACACGAGGCTAGTACATGGTTAAGGATGTTCTACCTCTGATCCTACGATCCTACTTCACATATGATCCTACGATCCTGCTCCGCCTTTGATCAAACGATCCTACTCCGCCTTTGAAAATACGATCCTAATGAACCTTTGATCCAACATCCCGGGATCATACTCCGCCTCTGATCCTAGAGTCCTACGATCATATTCCGCCTCTGATCCTACAATCATACTCCACCACTAAGCACCTGAAACCTAATTAGCATTTTTTCTAATTAAAACCAGCAATTAGTGTTCCACTGATGGGGCTATCAGCTTAGTGTCGAGTGATCGTCGACACTGTCAGCTGTGAGGTGCCAGGAGAGGAGGAGGAGGAAGAGGAGGAGGAGGAGGAGGAGGAGGAGGAGGAGGAGGAGGAGGAGGAGGAGGAGGAGGAGGAGGAGGAGGAAGAGGAGGACAAGGAGGAGGAAGAAGAGGGTTAAAAGGAAGAGGAAGAGGGGGAGGAGAAGGAAGAAAATGAGGTGGTTTTGGTGAGTAGGAAGGATATGGCAACGTTATTATTATGAGGAAGCGCTAAACCCGTAGAGATTTTGAAAGACAGTGGAGTTGGATCAGTAACAGTGAGAACAGCTGCAATCCCTAGGATCAAGAGCCTTGGTATCAAAGCACCTCTGTGTGTCCCCCTCTCTGGAACATCCTGTCTCTGTCCACCTTGTCTATTCCACGCAGTATTTTGTATGTCGCTATCACGTCTCCCCTAACCCTTCTGTTCTCCAGTGTCGTCAGACCGATTTCCCTTAACCTTTCTTCGTGGGACATTCCCCTTAGCTCTGGAACTAACCTTGTCGCAAACCTTTGCACTTTCTCTAATTTCTTGACGTGCTTGATCAAGTGCGGGTTCCAAACAGGTGCTGCATACTCCAGTATGGGCCTGACGTACACGGTGTACAGTGTCTTGAACGATTCCTTACTAAGGTATCGGAACGCTATTCTCAGGTTTGGCAGGCACCCGTATGCTGCAGCAGTTATCTGGTTGATGTGTGCTTCCGGAGACGTGCTCGAAGTGTGTAGTCTTTGGCCACCTAGCCTATACTCCGTCTGTGGTCTTCTTTGCCCTTCCCCGATCTTCATGACTTTTCATTTGGCGGGGTTAAATTCGAGAAGCCAGTTGTGATGAATGGTTTGAAAAACCGACAAGTTGAAGATTGAGACACTTATGCAGCATATGGGAATCTTTATTCAGGAAACGTTTCGCCACACAGTGGCTTCATCAGTCCAATACAAAGAGGAAGGCGTAAGGAGAGGAGGAGAATGAGGTAATCAGTCCCTCAACCTGGAGTCGATGTGTTCAGTCCATCAATCTTGTAGAATGTACAGCATAGGGCCGTAGACGTGGCTTATATACTGTAGTGAGGTGAGGTGAAGCAGGCGGAGGCGGGGTCATAGTGGTACCATCCACTAGTCGAAGTAGGTCTTCGTCGGTTTTTCAAACCATTCATCACAACTGTCAGACACTGCAGCATCATGGGATCTTGTTACAAAGAATTCCTCAACACTTGTTCAACCTTTGGACGAAGACCTACTTCGACTAGTGGATGGTACCATTATAACCCCGCCTCCGCCTGCTTCACCTCACCTCATACAGTATATAAGCCACGTCTACGGCCCTATGCTGTACATTCTACAAGATTGATGGACTGAACACATCGACTCCAGGTTGAGGGACTGATTACCTCATTCTCCTCCTCTCCTTACGCCTTCCTCTTTGTATTGGACTGATGAAGCCACTGTGTGGCAAAACGTTTCCTGAGTAAAGATTCCCATATGCTGCATAAGTGTCTCAATCTTCAACGAGAAGCCAGTTGCTGGACCAGGTGTCCAGCCTGTCCAGGTCTCTTTGAAGTTCTGCCTGTGTGTGTGTGTGTGTATGTGTACTCACCTAATTGTACTCACCTAACTGTGGTTGCAGGGGTCGATACTCAGCTCCTGGCCCCGCCTCTTCACCGACCGCTACTAGGTCCTCTCTCCCCTTGCTCCATGAGCTTTATCATACCTCGTCTTAAAACTATGTATAGTTCCTGCCTCCACTACATCGCTTGCCAGACTATTCCACTTCCTAACTACTCTATGACTGAAGAAATACTTCCTAACATCCCTTTGACTCATCTGAGTGTGTGTGTGTGTGTGTGTGTGTGTGTGTGTGTGTGTGTGTGTGTGTGTGTGTGTGTCTGTGTGTGTGTGTACGTACTTGACTGGACATGTGTACAGTTTCGCAGTTCATCTTCCTAACAAGTGTCCTCACTTCTACTAGCTCTGTTAACTTAGACAAGCTAGTATGCTGTGTAGAGCTCCTGATTCCTGTCATTGCTGGCAACTTGAGGATCTCTCAACCCAGACGGGTCGTTATGTCACTCTGACTTTTTTTTTATTTATTCTAGGTTCTTTGCACATATGCTGCTACGTATGATAATCTATGTAACTGTATTTGTGTATACCTGAATAAAATTACTTACTAATAACCATTCTTACAACATCACACTTGAAAGGGGGTTGAACTCCAACAGCCACTCCCTTGACCATTACTACATTTTGCCCAAGTCCTCTTCCAATTTTCTGCAGTTGGCCTGAATTCATATTCATCTCATTCTCTCTTTATTGCGTTCTCCTTTGCCTTCTTAGCCAAGATATCTGTCTGTCTGTCTGTCTGTCTGTCTGTCTGTCTCTCTCTCTCTCTCTCTCTCTCTCTCTCTCATACTTGCCTCAAAGTAGAGCAGGAATGTGTAACTAGTAATTCTGGTGTAATTATTTAACGTCGGCCCGTGGTGGTCATTTGTAACAGCAGAGAGGGCAAGAGAGCCTTATTAATATACGTTGTGGCATATAACATTAAACGTGTATGATGCAAGTCTTATACAAGGTGCTGCTGGCGTGTATGATTGCATGTAAGTATCAGTTTAACAATATATATATATATATATATATATATATATATATATATATATATATATATATATATATATATATATATATATATATATATATATATATATATATATATATATATTATTGGAGTGATGGTTGTAGTGTGCCACTGATCCTAATATTGAGTTTCAGACACTGGTGCAAATACAAATAATTAGAGAAACGTCAATAAACAGCAATGAATAGACTGAAGCTGATCACCAGGTCTGGGTGATTAATATCCCTGGTACAGTAGCACTGTCTCCAGGGAGGACGCTACCACAAAGACACTCCCTCCACCCAGTCCCTCTACCATGTCCCTCCACCCAGTCCCTCTACCATGTCCCTCCACCCAGTCCCTCTACCATGTCCCTCCACCCAGTCCCTCTACCATGTCCCTCCACCCAGTCCCTCTACCATGTCCCTCCACCCAGTCCCTCTACCATGTCCCTCCACCCAGTCCCTCTACCATGTCCCTCCACCCAGTCCCTCTACCATGTCCCTCCACCCAGTCCCTCTACCATGTCCCTCCACCCAGTCCCTCTACCATGTCCCTCCACCCAGTCCCTCTACCATGTCCCTCCACCCAGTCCCTCTACCATGTCCCTCCACCCAGTCCCTCTACCATGTCCCTCCACCCAGTCCCTCTACCATATCCCTCCACCCAGTCCCTCTACCATGTCCCTCCACCCAGTCCCTCTACCATGTCCCTCCACCCAGTCCCTCTACCATGTCCCTCCACCCAGTCCCTCTACCATGTCCCTCCACCCAGTCCCTCTACCATGTCCCTCCACCAAGAGTCCCTCCATACCCGGTCCCTCCACCCAGTCCCTCTACCAAGTCCCTCCACCAAGAGTCCCTCCATACCCGGTCCCTCCACCCAGTCCCTCCACCCAGTCCCTCTACCCAGTCCCTCCACCCAATCCCTCTACCATGTCCCTCCACCAAGAGTCACTCCGTACCCAGTCCCTCCACCCAGTCACTCTATACCCAGTCCCTCCACCCAGTCACTCCATACCCAGTCCCTCCATACCCAGTCCCTCCACCCAGTCCCTCCATACCCGGTCCCTCCACCCAGTCACTCTATACCCAGTCCCTCCACCCAGAGTCCCTCCACAGCCGGTCCCTCTACCCAGTCACTCTATCCCCAGTCCCTCCACCCAGAGTCCCTCCATAGCCGGTCCCTCCACCCAGTCACTCTATCCCCAGTCCCTCCACCCAGAGTCCCTCCATACCCAGTCCCTCCACCCAGTCACTATACCCAGTCCCTCCACCCAGTCACTCCATACCCAGTCCCTCCACCCAGTCACTCTATACCCAGTCCCTCCACCCAGAGTCACTCCATACCCAGTCCCTCCACCCAGAGTCACTCCATACCCAGTCCCTCCACCCAGAGTCCCTCCACACCCAGTTCCTCTACGCAGAGTCCCTCCACACCCAGTCCCTCCACCCAGAGCACCTCCACACCAGTACCTCCACCCTAAGACCCTCCAGCTTTAGTCTCTCGACACCCAGTCCCTCCACCCTCGGCTTAGTCCCTCCAGCCTTCGGCAAACCACACCAGGTACAGTCATTAGGCATTGCTTCAGTGACAAGCATTAGAGAACATGACAGTCTCTATAAACTTGTGGCAGAAAGTACGTGAGGAGTACACGCGGAGTACATGGGGAGCACATGGGGAGCACATGGGGAGCACATGGGGAGCACATGGGGAGTACATGAGAGAGAGAGAGACAGCAGAAGACTTGGAAGTCCACACCGAGGCTGTCTGCCGAGGATAGCTGTCTACTTCTATATAGGTTAACGACTGTCGTGTATTATGTAGATGTGTGAGTCAAGGTATGTGTCAGTGTGAGGATCACACCAGACAGGGCTTGTTATCCCTCTCCCAGAGTGAGGATCACACCAGACAGGGCTTGTTATCGCTCTCCCAGAGTGAGGATCACACCAGACAGGGCTTGTTATCCCTCTCCCAGAGTGAGGATCACACCAGACAGGGCTTGCTATCCCTCTCCCAGAGTGAGGATCACACCAGACAGGGCTTGCTATCCCTCTCCCAGAGTGAGGATCACACCAGACAGGGCTTGCTATCCCTCTCCCACAGTGAGGATCACACCAGACAGGGCTTGCTATCCCTCTCCCACAGTGAGGATCACACCAGACAGGGCTTGTTATCCCTCTCCCAGAATGAGAACCAGACCAGACAGGGCTTACAGCGCCTCCAAACTGTTAAAAGCCATTCCGAAAACTCTTACTTTCAGCTGAAATGG